CTTCCCCTCAAATACTGTGTGTTGACATCTTGACTTGAGAGGGCTGCTGGCTCTCTACTGTCATATGGGTTAGTGCAGTCTGGAATGCAGATAAGAACAAATGGAAATTCTAAGATTAGCACTCAGTTTAATTCACTTTAGGATATATGTGGGTGTCAAGTAGTTAGCATTCATGCTGTTGTTTTTATTTGAAAGATAGCAGCTCTGCAGATGTTTTTTTAATGTGTGTAACTAGAAATCTATATTTGAGACAAAATAATTTGCTAAGGTCTTCTCTCAACTGTTTTCTTCTTCTTTACTGTGAACACAGCTGAAGGTCAGTGTCAGTATTGTCTCTGTACAATAGAGAAAGCAAAATTTGAAAATTCTTTTTATAGACCTGAGACTACCCCTTATTGTTCCTGTATGATTTGCTTTAGGAAAACCAGATCATTCTGTGCATTAATATTTAATCTCATCTTAATACATAATCAAATGTAATGTAACAAGCATTGCTCATTGAGACTTCTGCACATATATTCTGCTTTTGGTTTTGGGCCATCAGGCTCTGTGTTCTTTAAACTTAAAATTTCATACAAGTGTTTGACTCTATAGACTTTCTAGGTAATATATTTTTAAAAAAAGCTACTGTAGGAGCATCAACAACTTTATTAAATTGATGCCAGCAACATCAATTACAACCTTAATTGTAATAACAAATAAATGTTTAGAGGTTTTGTTCATGGATGAAGGAAATCAGGATCCCAGACAAAAGATTTGTATTTCCAATCTTCTCAGCTTCAACAAAAGCACTAGAAAAAACTTCCGTTGTAGTCTGTCCTCATCACCTAACTGAAGTGGTTAGGAGATAAGGAGAGCATAGAAAGTGACTGGGCAAAGGGCTGTAACTACTGACCTTTAACATTTTTAAATGAAAGTGTCGTGGGCTGTTACGTGCTTTATGTTCAACTCAGTGTTTCTAGGAGACGTTAGGTGCATCCAGACTACTCCTGCAGATCAGATCTTGTGCTTATTAGGTCCATGGATGACAAAGTTGTGAATCTTGAGAGCATTGGGTTTGAATAGATACTAAGATGTTTATCCATGCCAAGGATGGCTGATTCTAAAAATCTGGATTTCCTCAAGCTTCACTGGAGAAGAACTAGATACCTGTTTCATTTCAGATATCTAGGAGGTGAGTAGTTTGTTTTACAGCTCATTTTCATGGACTGAGACACCTCAATTCTGCCCCCCATGATTTTGTGGCTATGCATCCAAGGATGTAAAAGTAGAGGTCTGGTGACAGTGCTTGTTTCTTTACCTTTGACCAATGCATCTTTTGGGAAGAATGCCTTATGGTTTTGGCATAGTAGATTTTAGAAAGGAGCTTTTTCTTATGGCAGTCGGTTGAAGGATGCAAAAGTATTAGTATTAGGAGTTTAAAGGGCTAAGAATAATTTTCCTGCTTCTGTTTTACTTGTTCTGTTCCCTCTTCTGTCCTATTGTGTTCTGTTCTATTCATGCTCTGTGACAGTGGGGCTAGCCACAATCTTTGAGGAAATGTTTAGTACGAGGAGAGGATCTAACATCAGAAAGTGTTCACTGAGACTTGAGATCTAACCTAATGATACTCCTGAAAAAGATCAAAAGGGACTGTCACTTGAACTGTGTAGGCTTGCAGAGGAGTTGCAAGTTGTGAGTGTTTCAAATGGCAGAGGTTCCAGATGACAAAGTGCGAGGTGTAAAAATTCTTTATTGTTGACAAGTAGACAAATCTGGGCTTGTTTTCAAGTGAAGCAGTATACAGAATTATGATCTGTGCAAAGACAAGTGTGATGAAAGCTTTAGACTCTTCTAACATTTTAGAATTTATTTGGTGATTGTTCAAAGTGTTGAATGAGTTCTTACAGTGACAGAAATAATGAACATTGAAAATAGGTGGTATTTAATATCCTACACTGCTATGCAGCACTGTCCACATCACTGCTAATCAGATACATTATCTGCAGCCTGTTGGTGATTTTAGCAAGCTAGTATCAATCGGAAATTGTTTCTAGTGAATAACTAGGACTGACATTGTTCTTGGAGGAGTTCTGAGAGGATAAGATTGAAAAGATACGGGAATGTAAAAGGAAGATGGAGTCTGGAAGAAGCAGAGTATGGACATGCTGCCTGGGGCTTTTCAGTTGGTCTGTTGAGTAAATGGATGTTTGGATTTGTTTTTTTTCTGACCTGTCAGTCCACTTCTTTTAAACAATTAGTTGCTGATTTTTGAAAGGATGGGAGAAAGCGATGCATATCATCAGGAGTATACAATCCAGTAAAATACAAAGCAGTTTTTGTAACCAAAGAAATCAAACATATGTGTGTATATAGGCAGGATTTACGAATGTAAAGTTTCTTCAGTCCTTTGTGTCTAGAAAAAGGTATTTAAACCACAACAGTGTTAAAACCACATTTTGTGTGTTTCATCTAATATATCATTATTTCTGTCAGTTACTACCGCTTCTACTCCTGATTTCACCTTATTGAAAAGTCTTTTGGAAAAAGAGTAGCAGGCATTAGCCTGTGGCTTGCTGATATATATCCAGAATCTCTGTCTATTCTCTGACCTTGAAAGATAAATATCTGTGCTGTATACCTGAAGGGTTCAGGCCTGGTGCTCCAGAAGGTCAATATTAGTTTAATTTCATATGGTCAAATCTGTTTTTTCAATAGATTTTTTCATAATTTCTTTTCAAATTGTTGCTTGCCCTCCATGGCTGTTATAAAGTCAAGGAAGATTATTGCCGAATCCAGGGACTGAAGAATGTATAGAGAGTGCTCAAGGAATGCGTCACAGTTATGTAATAATGGAAGCTGTTGTCCTCACATAACTGCAGTGTTGGACAGTGTAGAGCGGATGAGACAAAATTGTAAGAGAAAAGATTATTTCATAGGAGATATATTTTGAATTGGAGAGTCAAATTATGTCCCGACTTAGAAAACGGTCTATAAAATGCTAGAAAAATAATTATAAAAGTGGGTTTTGAAAATGTCTGCTAATGGACAATGTTTTTCATTTAATGCTGCTAAACTAAAAATCTGCTGTGAGATTTTAAGAGATACCAAGGGCTTGCAGCTGGAATTGAACTTACTGAACATGTATTATTAGTAAAGATGCTACATCCCCTTGAGAAAAGCACAAAGATTTCAAACAGCACACTTAGAAGTAGTGTGCTGTGTTGCAGTTTTGATCTTACTGTGTTTTGATGTCAGTTCCACATTTGAAAAATATTTGACCATGGTTGCTATAGAAAAGAGGGATGTTGATTGTAATCTGTTTATGTGAAGTGCTCAGATTTCATTTGTTTAGTTCAATAGAAAAATTCATAATGAAGTAAAAGCTTTAAAAGTGTCCAATAAATACGTTTGGAAGTCATGTATGGAGAGGAATATAAGCATTAGCTGCATATTCAGTTTTCTTTGTCCAGTTGCCAGGGAAGTGATATTTATGCTGTCTAGCATGCAATTTAGGAGCTCTGAATCATTGTCTGGGAGTGTTTCCTTCTCTCAGTTGACCGTATAGAGCTTTTAGGCTCTTAATGTTGGGGGATTTGAATTAAATATCCTAAGCTGCTAAGTGGAAAAAGCATGGAAATGCTTTGATTCCCTGCCCCTTCCATTCTTCCCCCTTCGAAATTCATGTGTTGAAACCTTGGTTAAACATAATATTATGATTAAGAAGTAGAATTGTGACTGTAATAGAAGTTTTTATTTTTATATTTCTTTATTTTGGAATATATTTGCTTGGGGTTTTGTGAGTGGGTTTTTTTTCTTTTTTCTTTTTTTTTTTTACTGGAACATTTCTTGGAATATAGATTTCTAAAGTGCTTTTGTGTATGGATTTCTAAAGTGCTGAAGAGGCAAAACCGTGCTAGAAGACATTTTGCTGTGTGCTACATGTTCAGTTTTCCCTTTCTCTAGTCAGTTTTGGAAAGTTCTGAGTGTGTCCACTCATTTAGTTCTTGTGTGGTCACTGACCCCTGGTTATAGAGGTAGTCACTGGGCTTTCATATGGTGAAGGAGCTATTTTGGTGAGCTTTAATTTTCTGTCCAACGTTAAGCATCCACTTATATTAAGAGCCTGCACTCGCTTTTTAGTTAGGTAGGAGAATATTCTTCATAGAGACATTCAGAATATCTATTTAGGAACCTTTTTGGGTTTTTAAGTACATAGGGAAGCTAGACCCTAACTTGATATTTAAGACCAGTATCTTCAATTAAAGGATGCAAATAGTCCTGTGAGTGTATGTCTGCATTTGTGGGTTTGGTTGAGAGGAATTGCATAGAACATTGGCTTGCTCACTGATAGGGTATTTGCCTAAAGACAATGGATAAATATGAATCAGTACTGTAAAGACCTACTGTATGTATTATCTAGTTATTTCTTTTAGCAAGTCTTAGTAAATTTTACTTAAAATTCCTTAGTTTTCCTTCCATAGTTTTTAGAGTTACATTGTCTGCAGGCGCTGACATCATTGCAGTTTAATACGTATATTGCAGATTTTCTTTTAATCTATTAGGATATTGCGTTTTAAATTACATGTTAAATGTTATAAATTCACATTGAACTTGATGATCTTAAAGGTCTTTTCCAGCCTACTTGGTTCTATGATTCTACGATAGGTTGTAAATAAAAATAAAAAAAATCAAAGCACCTTCCATTACATTTTTGGCTGAATGTACTGCTGGAAATATTCTAACATGATATTCTATCTGAAGAACTGGAAACTGGTTATAGAACATTACTGATTTAATTTTATAAGTAAATGTTTTCAATACTTGGCATTCCCCATTTTTAATTCTAAATAGAAATAAGAACAGAATACCAATTAATATAAATATACAACAGGTATTTAAGGAAATCCTTTTAGCTCAAAGTAAGAACTTTTCTCCTGCCCATATGATGTAGATTATAGGACTTCAGGGTAGTTGTTTTACAACATGTTGCACTCAGTTGTGCAAACTTATCTTTTTAGGGTCAAAGAAGAGCAAAAACCACAGCTGACACAGTAAGTAAAATATCTTAAAAATGCAATAGGCTTGACTTTTCTACCTTTGCCATGTTCTGCTTCCTGCACCTTTGTTGGTATTAGATTTCACTAATACCTGATAGGCTGCAGTTAGTTTGTCATCTGCTTCCTGACTGGCTTGTAAGTAAGCTACCTGCAGCTTCTTACTTCATCCATGTGTTAGCTGGATGTAGGTACTTTCTGCCTGCTTGTGAACTGGTGAACTGTAAAACTTTATTTCCTTTACATCCCTAGTGGCTGACTTAGTATTGTAGCTAACATTCCCATTGGCTCTAGCTTTTCTGCCTATATATTTCTATTAAAGTTGGATAAAAAAACATTTAAACTAGTGTGGTTTTATTGGTTATTCAGTCACATTATTTGCTTATTTAAACAGGTGGTTTCCCTTTAGTGGGATCACTGAGCTGGTAAATAACGTTCTTCAACCACAGCAAAAACAGCAAAATGAAAAGGAGCCCCAGACGTAAGTAAGCTGCTCTTGTTAGAATAAGTAATGTCTGTATAGCATTAAAACGTACTGGAGAGTATGTTTAAAATTATTGCCCATGTAGAACACCCTGCTGAGGGCATTTTACAACACCATTTACTTTCCGACCCCTCATTTCCAAAGGGAAAACTGAAAATCAGGTTGTACTCACCATATCAGTAACTCAAATTATTACATTAGAATACAAGCTAAGGAGTTACTACTGCTACATTTGCCTTTTTCTGCAAATGTTCCATACATGAAACTCCGAATGAAGGGATGCATTTTCTGTGCATGAGGAGCTGGAATGATCAGACATGTTGTGTTATATATAGCATGTCTATGCACGTGCATGGTATTTGTGATATTGGTTATGCATAGAATGCTATACAAATCTACGTAATATGTATGAAGAGCTTTTTAAGGACTAGGAAAATGTATTTTAATTTTTTCATGCTTCTAAAATATCTGTAAAGTTTCAAAACTTTAGCAGATAAAAGGTGAAATCTTGGGCCTGTGAAAGCTGAGGAAATTCTGACTTTGATGGGGCCAGTATTTCATCCATGGATCTTTTACAGTGCTAAGACAGTATGAGAACCTTGTGAAATATTTACTTTTCTTGCTGTCTGAAAGTATAACAGAAACTGGCAAAGCTAGGACATTCAGTCTTTGAGTAGAACTTAAACTATGGAGCTGAAAATATTCTTTTTCTTAAAGAGAAACCAAATAATATTTATTATTCTAAATTTTTAAATTTTTAAAATGTGACTTCTGATATTATTTAAGCTTTAAATAGTTAAGTTGCTGTCTTTTCTTTCTTCTAAAGGGGAATGCCTTGTAAGTTCACGTGATAAAAGAAATGTTTGCTTTTGAACCCATGCATAACTGGTTTAAAACATGGATATAACTTGTTATTAATTATTTTCCAGACAGAATCAGTTTTAGTTTATTTTCAAATATGTATGTTTAAGTGGCATTTCATACTTGCAGGATATGAAAGCTGTGAGGTTTTTTTGAGACTACAGTTTGAAATTTTCACAAAATTAAATGGAAAAATAGGCCATAAAACTGATATATTATTAAGAGCTCTGTTTCCGATATTCTCACTTAAATTCCTATATAATTGCATATATAATAGTAATAATGAAGCTTTTATTTATCGGTTATCATTATATATTGGCAATATTACATTTTGTTCACAACACCTCGGTACCTCCTTTGTATTCCCAGTTTCCTTAACACAGCCGCTTGTTCTGCTTACCAGTGCTGTACGTATAAAGCATATGGCTTTGAAGAAACTGAAAATAATATATAGTCAGTATATACAGTTGAGTCATAGTTGCCCTAAAGTATTTATAAATAGTTACTCTTATTGTGGAAGGATTTTTTTTTTGAACAGTGATCTCTTAGGGAACTACCTTCATTCAATTTTTTTTAAATCATTAAGAAATGAATTTAGGTGTATACTCCTTGAATTTACAGATGGCACAAGGCTGGGAGAAGTATAACATCTCATAGCAGGATTATATTCCAAAATTATGCTGAAAAATCAAGCTATGGTTATGATATTATGGTATCAGTCAAAAGGATAAATGCCAGGTAGTGGAATTCTGTAAGGATGGTTTATATGGTTGAGACAAGATAGAGAAAAATGGTGCAGGTAGAAGTTTCTGGCAGAGAATCTGGGAGCCATAATAGTATATAAGTTGAGCAGGAGTCAACATCGTGAAGGATATAAATATCACACTGGAATGTATAGACACTAGCCTGAAAGTGCCATGAAGAAGTTTTCATCCTGCTAAACTTTGGTAAGGTCCCACCTGGAATAGTGTGCCCTTTTTTGGACACCATCCTTCAAAAATGATGTGGAGTAGTTGAAATTCAGTGGAGAGTAATAAAAATGAATAAACAGATGCCTAAGAAATGTGGCATGTATATGAGATGATTTAGCCTCTTGAAGAGAAAATCCCAGGGGATGAAGGAGATGGGCAAATCTTTAATTATGCAGGGAGTTGCTGAAAAATGAAAAGTTATAATATCTTCTCCATGCCTCTGGAGAAGGGGCATGGAGGAAGGCAAGTTGCATCAGGGAGGATTCAGCTAGGTAGGGAAAACTTAAATCTTGTACAGTTTGCCTAGTGCTTGTGTGGAAGCTATATTAGTGAAGATCTTTAGGAGCAGTTTAGCAAGTATCTGTTAGAACGTACACAAGTGTAGCTTTTCCTGTGCTGGGACAAATGACTTTTTAAAGTGTCTTCAAGCACTCTTTATTTGTGATAACATCATTAATTTATTTAGTTATTTTTAATTAATTTATTAATGAACATGATTCATTTTTTTTATTATTGTAGACATTGAAGGAGAGAACTGATCAGAAATGCTAACCTCCTTATTTAGCTGTTTGTCTGGCTTTAATGGTTTGCTGGAAAGTGTTGTACCTGGGAATATTATGGGACACTGGGAGCAGTGTGGAACTCTGTATGTCTGAAGGAATTATTACCACTATCCATACATATTAGGGCATTTCCATTTGAAATCACTATCAGTATCTAAGTCTGTAAAGGATTTCAGCCAACTTGGCTGATGAAAATAACTTACTTAGAGTTAATCTGGGAAGGACAAAATGTTGTTGGAGAAGGCAGAGAAGGAACCATTGTGGTGGTTGAAAACATAAGGTATCATCTTACAAATTTCAGTTTTGCTCTGGTGAAAGTATTTTTGAAGAATCGTTGACCACGTATCCTAATGGGCAAAGGCAGGATTAGTCTGATACCCTTGGACATGGATTCTGTACCACAAAATCACAGAACGGTTGACTTTTGAAGGGACTTCTGGAGATCATCTTGGCCAGCCCACCTGGGTCAAGCTGGGTCACCTATAGCTGGTTGTCCAGGACCATGTCCAGACGGCTATTTAATATCTCCAGGGATGGAGACTCCACAACTTCGCTGGACTAGCAATACACATGCTGGTGCTCGGTCACTCCTTCTTACCCTTCTTCAAGGTGGGAGTGACATTTGCTTTCCTCCAGTCATAAGGCATCTCTCCCAAAGATTGTTGAGAATGGTCTTGAAGATCTGGTCTTTCTTGATGAAGAATACTTACATCTTCAGCTCCTGTGTACTTCATCATGAGTTTTATCTGCAGTGTTTAAGAAATTTCCATGTTGTCATCCTTATAGAGTAGAAAACCTTAGCTGCCCCCTGAAGCAACTGTTCTTGATGCTCAGCAATTAGCCTGTCAATTTTTTATTTCTTCAGATTCATATGGCATATATTTTGTAAAAGATATATTCAGATTGTTCCTCATTGGGATTTGGTGGTGTTCCTTCTGCCTAAGGGTTTGACTTGCATGAATCTTGGAACATTATGTAATAGTATTAAGCTCCAATCAAAATAAAGGAATCTCATGATAAGAGGCACTAAAGATTCATCTAGTCTAATACTGTGTATTGACAGTGCCCAGTAATGGGTATTTAAAAATGCACATGAGGAGGAGGGCATGTATAGGCTAATTCTTATATAGCCACTTCAGGTATTTTAATGGATTCCTGAGCCAAAGGCTGCATGCAGATTGCTGTATTTATATAATGAGCATTAGGAATCTATCTTCCATAAATATATTCAGTGCCATTTTAAACCCATTTATATTTTTGGCTTCAGAACTTGGTGAAAATGAATTCTAGAATTTAATTATCTGATGAATAGAGAAGTTGTTTGGTTTAAACACGCTTACTGGGGAGTCCTAGTCTAGTGTTGTGTAATTCCTTATACTCCATGTCTATACTATGCTTGGCCTTTATAGATTTCTATTGTATTCCAAGCAGCCTGTTATATTTTATAAAATCATCTTTTTAAGCTGAAGAATCAGAATTTCTCCTTCTGTGAAAGGCAGTCTGTGCTTCTGTTCGTCTGTGTTGTCTCCTTTTAAAAATTCTGTTAGACTTTTTGAGTTAAGGGTGACAAGCATCTCTCACAGTATGCAAGATGTGAGAACTTAGTAATTTTATACAGTGGCTTAGGAAAGAAAGTTTCTAATGATTGCTGCTTAAAGATATCCAGATATTGAAAATATGGTGGTTTTTTTTTCCCTTTTCCCTGAACAATTTAGTTGCTGTTCAGGCTGGAAGAGTCTCTAGTTAATTTGGTTTTGTTAAGAGCTATAAGATGGCTATCAAATGCCTTTTGTACCTAAAATATTTTAAAATAAATAGATTAAAATATTAAATTGCCTCTTAGTACATTCACTAGACTAATTCTAGGAGAGGTCAAAAAATGTACATTGCTTAGCACAACATGGGGAAATTTTACTGCTAAAAGAAGTAGCTTGTTAATAAATAGATCTTAAGGTACTTTCCAACCCTAACCATTTTTATTCCATTCCATCCTATTCCAGTCTAGTGTAGTCTAATCTTTTCTGCTCTCTTCTGTGCCATGCCATGCAATGCCATGCCATATATTTATATGTTTTTCTGGAAGCTATGTTGTCATTATAGGGAAATGAAGACTGAAAATTGCTGTAAAATGATACTTAATAAAACCTTTTCCTGCATGTTTTTATGTAAACTGAACTATTTTTTCTGTTGGTAGAACACTCTGGCGAACTATTAAAAAATTTCAGTAAAATGCCTTCTCCTCTAAAAGAAATATATAAATTTTTTTTCAATTGAGTTCCATAAACAACTATAAAGGAAAGAAATTATCCATCAAGAGTGCTTGGTTTTTTACATTTTAAATCCTTTACTCTTTGAAATGTCAAGTAATACTGAATTTTATCAATACATACTAAGTCTGTGTGTCCACACACATAGTTTTGTTAACATGCCTGTCCTGTTGCTAGAAAATCACTCTAGACATATTAGAAAAGTTTTCAGTGTATGCATATGTGTACTGTAAAGGGCAGGTTCTGTATTTATAGAGAAGACTGTGTCTTTATTTCACATCGCCTTTAAGGCATGCTGCATAAAGTTGCAAAAAAAAAGTGAAAAAAATTAGAAA